GAAAATTACCCAAAGTACATCAAAGAGCAGATTTTTTAACAAAGATACTATATGCCCCTGCAAAAAAAAGACCATAGCAAGACAGACAATACATAAGAATTTTGTGTTCCAGCACAACCCAGAGTTGGGGGAAGGAGAGAAATGCTTGGAAAAACTAACAATAGTAAGCTTAAATACAGAAATCTTAACTTTAAATAGGTAAATTCTTACCTCCCACTGTAAGTGAGGTGGGATATTCCGTATCTGAAGTTTCCGGATCCTGCAGAAGAATTAAAATGTTTTATAAAAGAAAAAAATATGAAAGCAAAAGACATTAATAGCCAACACAGATTTTTTTGAAGTTATTTAACATATAAACTTTTTACTAACTACATACAAACCAATGTATAACAAGAAAATGCAGCCCAAGGAGGAAAAAGGAGACCAAGCTGATCACAGGATCACATTAAGACTATCTGGAGATCCAGCATCATTGGATTATTACAGTTTATTTTAAAAGCTACTAAGGGACACCTGGGTGGCTCAGTGAGTTAAACATCTGCCTTTGACTCAGGTCATGATCCTAGGGTCCTGGGCTCAAGTCCCACATCAGTCTCCTTGCTCAGCAGGGAGCTTGCTTCTCACTCTGCCTCTCCCCCTGCTTGTGCTCTCCCTCTCTCACTCAAATAAATAAATAAAATCTTAAAAAAAAATAATTAAAAGCCACTAAAATTAGTTTTTAAGTTTTTTTTTTTTTTAAGTAATCTTCACAACCAATGTGAGGCTCAAACTTAAAACCCCAAGATCAAGAGCTGCATGCTCTACTGAGCCAGCCAGTGTCCCTAAAATTGGCTTTTTAAAATTATAATATTTGAGAAACACTTCACCTGGTGACTATATTCTAAATTCAAACCCTCAAGCCTCAAATTAAGCATACCAGGACACAAACAAATCCATACAATAGTTGTTCTTAATCTGAGATCACAGCCAAGGGGTCCATAGATAGATACAGGGAACCTAGATGGGGCGATAAAGATCACCTATTTATTTTCCACTATCTCCTAACTGAAAAAAAAATTTTTTTTTCCAAGATTTTATTTATTTGACAGAGAGAGACAGCCAGAGAGGGAACACAAGCAGGGGGAGAGAGAGAGAGAGAGAGAGAGAGAGAGAGAGAGAGAAGCTGGCTTCCCACTGAGTGGGGAGCCCCATGCAGGGCTCGATCCCAGGACCCTGGGACCATGACCTGAACCCAAGGCAGAAGCCCAACGACGGAGCCACCCAGGCACCCCCTAACTGAAATTTAGTACCTCCTTTAATTGTGAATGTTGCATTAAACTACAGTAGAACCACACTACTTGTAATTTTGACATTAATATACATCAGATATTTTCATATCACATTAACTTGCTGCAGATTTTTATCATCTACACCCAACTCTGTGAAGTTCAGATGTGTTGCCAGAACTTATTATGTAAAGCAGTACATATTTACTACAAGTTTTAACATTTTGTTAACAGTATTTCAAAATAAGTGACTTCCTTCATAATCCTATGTACTTTATTTACATTATGCATTGAAAAACATCCTATGAGGTCTGTAAGTTTCAGGCTACCAAGTACAGAAAACACTAAAAATCCCTGACTAACCTTACTAACACTGTATCTTAACTAACTCAAATTAAGATAAAAATTTAAAACAAATAGTTTGAATTTTCTAATTAGTAGTTATATGAAAGATCTTTAATGAATGTATTTAGCTCGGTATTACTTATTGAGTACACCTAAACTGACAGTTTCTACAGTCATTATATAATGCTCAAAAATGTTATCTAAGGTTTCTGCTTTCATTAAGTTCATGGAATTTTTGTTAAGCCTAAAACTTTTCCAATTGAAATTGGCATTTGGGGGGTGCCTGGGTGGCTCAGTGGATTAAGGCCTCTGCCTTCGGCTCGGGCCATGATCCCAGGGTCCTGGGATTGAGCCCCGCATTGGGCTCTCTGCTCAGCGGCGAGCCTGCTTCCCCCTCTCACTCTGCCTGCCTCTCTGCCTACTTGTGATCTCTCTGTCAAATAAATAAACAAAATCTTTAAAAAAAATTTAAAAAAAATTGGCATTTGGAAATGTGCATCCTCTCTTTACTGGTCAAAAACGCTGTCAATTTGTCTCCTTACCTACTCAAACTTGCTATTTGAGTTATTTAACATTTTTTATATTGACTTGTATATAAAACATTTCATCACTATGATGGTTTAATTGACACCTAATATAATTCTAAACATCTCAGCATCTTACTTGTACGAATCTTTGTGTTATACATTCAACTCTTAGCTATTATATCTATGTGTGTAAATTGGATATTGCCTAACTCATTGTATGTGTAATTATTAACATGAAGTTTTCAGGGTGCCTGGGTGGCTCAGTGGGTTGAAGCCTCTGCCTTCAGCTCAGGTCATGATCCCAGGGTCCTGGGATCGAGGCCCACATCGGGCTCTCTGCTCCGCGGGGAGCCTGCTTTCTCCTCTCTCTCTCTCTGCTTGTCTCTCTGCCTACTTGTGATCTCTGTCTCTCAAATAAATAAATAAAATCTTAAAAAAAAAAAAAAACTATTAAGTTTTCAAGGGCGCCTGGGTGGCTCAGATGGTTGAGCATCTGCCTTTGGCTCAGGTCATGATCTCAGGGTCCTAGGATTGGGCCCCACATCGGGCTCCTGGCTCAGTGAGGAGTCGGTTTCTCCCTCTCCCTCTCCCCTTGCTTATGAGCTCTCTCTCTCTGTCTCAAATAAATAAATAAAATCCTGAAAAATAAATAAAAGGTAGCAGTTTCATTATGAAAAAAATTAAGTTTTCATATCTTAATACCCCCCAAAATCCCCAACCTTAGTTCAAATGCCTATATATATATACACATATATGTATATATGTGTATATATACATATATATGTATATATGTATATATACATATATACCTAGGTTAAATATTATACACAATAATATTTAATATAATGCATATATACTCTCCTCTTCTACCCCTTCCTTCAACACTGCCAGAGGGAGAAAGGAAGGAAGAGATATTAATTATGTGCAATTATAATATAGGTGCCACACACAAATTCATCCCAGGAATTTTTAGTCAACTATCCATTTAAGAAAAAAAAAATGATTAGCAACTGGGCTTAACATATCAAGTGAAATAATTAAATTACTTAACTTCTAAAATTAGAAGTTTCCCTTCCCTGGTCAAGTAATCATTTATTTTGATATACCACAACAAAACACAACTTAGACCACATCCATAACCTAGTCCTTTCTTCCTTGCATTCCCTTCAAAGCATGAGAACAAATACATGTCCGATACCACCTATCCCCTAGGGAACTATAAAGAACATGTAGATTAACCAAACTCAGGTACATTTTGTTTGTAATCATAAACTAAGGAGGAAGGAAAAAGCAGTTTTATATTATTTTTATGGGGCAGTAAAACAAAGCACAATCATCAGGGACAATACAACAAAGAGATGGCAAGAATGTCAATTTAAGAAAGAAATTTTCAACCACCATCTCAGTCTCAGAATTTACAATGAAATAAATGCTAAGTCTGAAATCTGTTTGAAATAACTCATGTGCTAACAAATGCTAAAGCTGCAGGACACATACTATCTCTCTGTTTTTAGATAAGTTTTCTACTTCCCAAAAAAGCCTTTAAAAATATACTCCATTGGGGTACCTGGGTGGCTCAGTCAGGCATCAGACTCTAGACATCAGCTCAGGTCTTGATATTGGGGTCATGAATTTGGGCCAGGAGTTGAGCTCCACACCCAAATTTACACACACACACACACACACACACACACGCTCTCTCTCTCCCCCCTAAGAGATCTAACACACAAGTTACACAATTGCTATATATTGCTTTAGCTAGCAGAAAAGTTGCTCAACATTGTGTAATATTTACCCTGCGTAAGCAAGGAAGTAAGATTTACTACATACATGTAAGTACACATATGCAAGTACTAAGTCTTTTTTTTTTTTTTTTTTAAGATTTTATTTGAGAGACCAAGAGGGAGAGCAGAGCAAGAGCTAGAGAGCAGAGCGAGAGCAAGAGCACAAGTCCAGAAGGCAGAGCCAAAGAGCAGAGCAAGAAAGAGAGCAGAAGTGGGGCGGGAAGGGGGCGCCCCTGCCCCGCAAAGGGAGAGGGAGAAGCAGGCTTCCCAATGAGCGGGAAGCCCATGCAGGGCTCAATCCCAGGACCCTGAGATCAAGGACATGATCCCAGGACCTGAGCCGAAGGCAAACCATTAACTGACTGAACCACTCAGGCATCCCTGCAAGTACTAAGTTTTATTCAAACACCCGTCAGTAAGAATCAGCAGCACAGTATTAAGAAACTAAGTATTCATCCCCATTGACTCTTTCCCGGGCATATATATATTATAGAAATTTTCCCCCAAAAGTACACATTTAAGGGAATATACAGAGTTTAGGTCAGCTAGCAGGTGATTATTCATATCACAAAAATAAATACCACTTCACAGGGCTCCCAAGAAATTCTTTAAATACAATACCATCTTTTGTACATTGGAAGTAATCCATTACCCATGTTCTCCCAACACATTCTTCAAAATGTACATCCAACGCCATTTACTTATTGGAAGTTACTCCAAAATAATTATTTCCCTTAAATGGCTGTCCAATTTCCATTATCTGATTCTCTCAAGTTTCATTTTAGACAAACATTGGGATTATTTTCATATAGTGTTTTCACATCTAGAGTTGTACTTTCCCACTTACAGTAAAGTTATCATAACCTCTGCAGTTTCTCCCCTGCTCCTAACCCCATGCTCCCTCCTCAACAGTCCAAAAGCCAAAAGGCTCAACATTAAAAGAGACCAAGCAAAGGCATGAATTCTGACCATCCAGCACATAAACACAAACTTCTGACCTGGCAAGACCTTGAGAACACCCATCCCTCTGCTGCACTCAGCAAGTTAACCGTGCACAACTAAAGCACTAGATTACCTGCTTGCTCCCTTCCGCAGTACATCCACTGAAACTGAAGCAATACAGAAAAGATCAGCCTGGCTCCTGAGCAAGGATGACACACAAAATTCACGAAGCATTCCATATTTTTTAGAATTTGAGAGAGAGAGAGAGAGAGCTTGTGTGCTCACGTGTGCCTAGGAGTGGGAAGGGGGGCAGAGGGAGAGAGCCGCACAAGCACCTCCAGCAGACTCCCCACTGACAGCAAGGCTGATGTGGGGCTCAACCCCACCACCCCGAATTCATGACCTGAGCAGAAATCAAGAGCTGCATGCTCAATCAACTGAGCGACCCAGGCGCCCTGCATTCCATATTTTTGTAAGTTTACTGTATATAAATTTTCCTTTTTTTTTTTTTTCCCTGCTCAGTTATTATGTTTTTAGATTTTCCCTAATAATACAAGTAAATCCAGGGGTGCCTGGCTGGCTCAGGTGACAGAGTGTGTGACTCTGCATCCCCAGGTCATGAGTTTGAGCCCCACATTGTGTGGAGATTAATCATTTTTTTAAAAGATTTTATTTATTTGACAGAGAGATCACAAGTAGGTGGGGGGGGCAGGCCCCCTGCCTCGCAGAAAGCAGGATGCCAGGACCCTGAGATCATGACCTGAGCTGAAAGCAGAGGCTTAACCCACTGAGCCACCCAGGGGTCCCTAGAGATTACTTTAAACAAATAAATAAAACAACTTTAAATTCTATTTAAAAAATAATACAAGTAAATCAAGTTCATTCATATTTAAAAAAAGAAAAAAAGACTATTACCTGCTTTACTGATCTCCCATCCCAGCTTTTAAAATTAGGTTATATTTAGCTTTGATTCTAAATAGTTAACAATCAAGAAAATCAATACGAACATATTTCTAACGTATGATTATGTAATCACTCAAATTCAGTTTAACTCTCAGCAAAGTGAGCTGGTGTTCTACTCCACTTAAAGTACATCTAAGTAATATCAGGATTAGATGCCATAACACAGAAACTGATTAATTAGGTCGCCTCACTCTCTGTTGTGCTCAGAACCTGAACAGTGCTTGGCACCTAAGAAGCACGCAACTGAGAGTTACATTAAAATTTGTTACAATCTGTACTTGGGGGAGAAAAACACAAGACTCACAGATCTGCCAATCAGAAACTACTAGCATTTCCAATGATTTTCCTACAGCTCATAAGACTGAAAACAGCACCAGCACATGTTCTCTCTAAACAGGAAAAGAAACTATAAAACCATCACTGCTCCTGAGTGATTTACATAAATTCCTTGGTATCAGATATCTATTCTATTTCCAACCTCTTAATAAATATCCTTGTACAGTTGGTTTATTCCTATCAAGATACTAAGGAGGGGCGCCTGGCTGGCTCAGTCAGTAGAGCTTGCTTCTTGTGATCTTGGCTTTGGGAGTTCAGGCCCCACCCTGGACACAAAGCTTACATTTAAACAAAATAAGGAGCACCTGGGTGGCTCAGTCGTTAAGCTTCGGCCTTCAGCTCAGGTCCAGGATCCCAAAGTCCTAGGATCGAGCCACACATCAGGCTCCCTGCTCAGTGAGAGGTCTGCTTCTCCCTCTCCCATTCCCCCTGCTTGTGTTCTCTCTCTCTGTGCAATAAACTTTTTTAAAAATAAAATTAAAAATAACCAAAAAACACCCCAAAAAGATAGACATGTGTGGACTTGATCTCTCTTAGGTCTTCACTCTTTTTGCCATTTATTTGATGGAAAGGTCACAAATCCTGCATCATTACTCATTGTGGATTTTATCCATAGTATCCTTTTTGTGTCATTTTCAATAAACTATTTACTATATTGAATTTGATATACGTTTTATCTTTTTTAATATAAAAAATTACACATCTATGAATCCACCTACCCAAATAATTAGAGCAAGACAATTAAAGCTACCCATGCTTCTCTCCCACCCCAAATGCCTGCCTCCTGGAATGTACATCAATATTCGTAGCCCTTTCGAAATGAATTTTAAAGGGACTCTGGGTGGCTCAGTTGGTTGAGTTAAGCGGCTGCTTTCAGATCATTGTATCAGGGTCCTGGGATCAGGTCCCATGCTGGGCTCCCTGCTCAGTAGGAAAGTCCATGAGTAACCCAAGAGAGCCATATACTGCATTTGGTTGATTATGATTCTAGTCTCATAATCCGCATGGTTTCTTTTTTTTTTTCCTTGCAACTTACGGCGGGGCGGGGGGGCCAAACCTGTCATTTGTCCTATAGTTTCTCACTGCCTGGATTTTGCTAATTATAGCCCTATGATGGTATTTAATATTCTCCTCCATCCCCTCTGTAATTAGATCTGAAGATTCCATTTGTATTTTTATTGCTGCTTGTTTGGGAGAGACAATAATATACCCTAAGAGGTGTCTTATACTGGGGGCACGTGGCTGGCTCAGTCAGAGGAACATCCAACTCTTGAACTTGGGGTCCTGAGTTCAAGCCCCATGTTGGGCGTAAAGATTAAATAAATGAAACTTTAAAAAAAAAAAAAAAGGAAAGAAAGAGAGAAAGTGACTTGTACTTCTAGGAAGAGATGTCTGTCTGTAGCTATCCTCCTGTGATGTTGTAATCACCAACGATCACTGCCAAAATCCATTATTTCATTCAGGATTGAAAGTGGTTTTCTCATTTATGTCTTCTGTGACTTTTTTATTCAGCTTGAGTTCTTCCATGAAGAACAACTTTCCCCTGTCGAATACCTGGATACTCCGAACAGTCAGCACAGTGAAGACAGGATAAATCCTTGATTCTTGCCCTTCTGCAGATGGTTTTGCGCTCTTTATCACATCCCCTCACTCACCTCTGATTGCATCCACAGCGTAGACAGACCCATGTACCATGAGGCTGTCCTGCCTCCCTCCACCCCAAGGCACACATCTTACACATCTCTGTTTTACCTCAGAGCTTTCTCCAAAGCCTCAGAAGAGTACAGGAGGAGCCTGGAAGCAACGGAGAGATGAAACCCTCAAGACAATCCAGTTCACAAGGGAAGGGAACTAAGCAACAGATAAAGGCCCATCTTCAGCTAGGAGAGATTCTATACATTCCTCTAAGGTCCACCTTCCTTATGGCAATCTCAGTAAAGCACCTTTCGTTGGTTTTTCTTAACTCCCCATTACACTCTCCCCATTCCCTCACTCTTGCTTCCTGGAATCCCGTCCAAAATAAATCAGTTTCATGCAAATCTTCATCTCCATCTCTTCTCCCAGGAGTTCAAAGACACGGCTATTTCAAACTTTACAGAATAATAAGTTGGTGCTCTGGCATTGTCCTAAGATAACCAAATGTTTTTTTCTGTATCATCATAAATTCACAGAGTCCTGGGTATGTGGAATGTATCAATCCATTGCATTAATTCCTCCTGATGCTCAAATTGCCCCATCTTTGGCTAGCCAGTGCAAGCTTCTTCATACTCACTCCTGCACCTTGTGACAAGACTCCAGTCATCTCTGACTGCGCCTCTGCCTTCTGTTAGGACATGATAATCCGGCTTCAACTGGTATATCTCCTAGTCCCTCTACAATCAGCTTTTTACACATAAACTGCTAGTCCTTATTATTAGTCAGAAATAATACACTGAGACACAATCTAGTCACTAGAGTGCTCATTAAGTTGCTCATTGCTCTTAGGCCACAGCTGGAAAACAGACATTCTGTTTCAAAGAGAAATAAACCATGTATTCTTGCAGATTATTTCCAATTCAAATTTCAGATTACTAGGTTGTTGCCAAGTGTCTTTCTTATTTGCGTCTTTACTTCACTGTAAAGTTTGATAGCAGCAAAGAATATAAACAAGGAAATGCTGTTACGGATGGAATGCTTGTGTCCCCCCAGCCTCCCCAAATTCCTATGTTACAGCCCTAACCTCCAACACGATGGTATTACAAAGCTGGGCCTTTGGAAAGTACTCAGGCTTAGTTAGATGATGTCATAAGGATGGAGTCCCCAGAGGATTACTATCTTTTTTTTTTTTTTCTTGAAGACTTTTTTTTAGAGCAATCTCTACCCTGAACATGGGGCTCCAACTCACAGCCCCATCAAGAGGTGCCTGTTCTTCTAAGCCAGCCAGGCACCCCAGGATCACTATCTTTGTGAGAAGACAGACCACAGCTCTTTCACTGGTACATGCTGAGGTGAAGCCATGTGAGCCACAGCACGAAGGCAAGAAGGCATCTCTCCACAGGCCACGAAGAAAGGGCTCTTATACCAAGAACCGAAGCATCTGACTGCACTTTGATCTTGGACTTCCCAGCCTCCAAAAAGGTGCTTAAGAAATGTCTGCTGTTTAAACCACCCTGTCTGTGGTACTTTGCGATAGCAGCCACACTGCCTAAGACAGTGTCTATCTCACTCAATCTTCACAGTCAGCACTTTATCGATTAGGAAACAAAGCGTAAGTTTAACCTGCCCGAATACTAACTGCTCAAGTCTAGCAGGGTCAGTACCAATCCCCACACTTTCTGGCCAGAGACTACTTTCTTAACTACACTATGTTCAATCACTCATTTCACTTATAATCCAACCAGTTTCCGTAGTGTAGTGGTTATCACGTTCGCCTGACACTTATAATCCAACCAACAATGTAACCATATCGAATGACTTCAGAAAGATTAAAAGGATGTAATTTTTATTACACCCTCAAGGTCAAATATAGGCTAACCTTATGCAAAATTTTCACTTTATCCCACTGCTTTAAACCAAACAATGATCATTACAAATCAAGATTCAATACTGACATTAAATGGACAAAGTTACTTATTATACCAAGAAAGGAAGACAGCAATGCTAAAAACAAAGCTAACTCAACTGCCTCAAGATAGCAGGACAACTGCATACACAGGCACCCAGGCATTTAGGAAGGCAGACATTTCACAGTAAGTCCTAATGCAAGAAATAAAAATGTATTAACTTGCAATATTCTGTCCAAATTACCTACAAATCCTGAATGTACATTTTGTTCATCTTACTTCCCCCAAAAGGCTCTGTTGCACTCCCTTCTTTCTACCAACACTTATACAAATTAAGGAAATCACTGATTTCTCACTTCATAGTAAGACTGAGGCTCTCTTCACAATCTAACAGGCTAACACCA